ACGAGAGGACCACAATCCCCTCTGGCTCCCTGCGTTTGTTGTGGCGCAGTCTTGTCTCTGATCATTGTAATTTTGAACTTCTTTGGCTTCTTGTTTCCAGAATTTGTCCAATAATCAATCGCATCCAAGTATTTAGCCAAATGATCGCTCCATCCCTTTGTAATAATATCTCTCAAATCAGACAATGGTATGTAATTCAACATGTTGTCATATACCATTGTCTTCAGGGATGGGAGCTGAAGCTCGACGATAAGCCAATGACGACGTTCCAAAACAGGGATAAACACCTGCAATCATAAATAATTGTGCACATCAAATAAAATTTATGAAAACCATTAAAATATTCAAAAAATAAATACTAACCTTATCGACCTCCCACCACGCAGGATAAAGTTTAGCTTTTCCATTACCCAACGTATATGAAGCATCTCTCTGATCCTTCAAGTGAGCTGCGTGAAAAGACGTCGGCATAATAGTCCATCGATTATTTCTTTTCCTCAATTTCCTTATTATTAGAAGACGTGACACCCATGCATCAATATGTTATTTTATAAAAAAATAAATATATTAGTGAATTTATTAATAATTTAAAAAAAATAATCAAAATGCAATATAAGAAGAATATAAGACTTACCACCCCTTCGAGATAGCCATTATCTTCAACCCCTAATAAAATACCCCACCAAGGCCGATCAAGAAACAAATGAATAGCATCGTCAATTTGACATAGGTCAGAATAACACCCCTTGCTCCGCTCATGTAGATAAAAATCAACTGCGATCTTAGCCCAAAGGGTATTATCCGTAATTGTATCTGGTAGTGTTTCTCTCTCCTACTGAGGAATGGTACTGGCCGGTAACAAATACGAAAGCCAACTCGCATCCATCATATCGGGCACGGGAAGGGGTTTATCAATATTTTGACATATGATGCCATGTGAATCGAGCTCTTGAACGGCGGGCGGGACCTCTTGAATGATGACAGGGGCCTCTTGAACGGTGGGAGGGGCTTATTCGATGATGAGAGGGGCCTTTTGAACTATAGGAGGAGCCTCTTGAATGATGATAGGTGCATCGGGCTTATTCTTACAGAGTCTTGGCACTAGTGGAGTGAACGGAGACGTAATGGCACGTGCACGACGTCTGATGCGTGAACTATGTCGTACAAGAAAAACCCGACGTAAAGCATCTACCTTATCGGGCCGCAGAAATAAATTAATACATAAATCAGTAAATAAATAATGCCAAGAAAATGTTATTTTCATTTTAGTATATATTAAACAAATTTACCTCATTGCGTAGAGTATGAACCTCATTCTGCAACAATGAAACAATCTCGCGTAGAGCGATAACCTCATCACGTAAAGTAGATACCTCACCGTGTAGCGCACCATTGTCATCGCGTAAAAAATCCACCTCACCACGTAAAGATCGAACCTCATCATGCCATGCACCATTATCTTCACGTAAAGTACCGACCTCATGATGCAAAGCACCGACCTCATCACGTAATTCCCCTAACTCATCCCGTGGAGGTGGAGAACAGAGAGATAAATGTCGTGGCCTCTTTGCCGATCACCTATAATGAGGTGATGGTAGAGAAGAGGCTCGATAATATGATGGAATAGGTGATGGTGGAGGTGGAGAAGAGGTTCGATCAGGTGATGGCTCCAGGTGTCGAGCTGTAGAATCGGCCCGATCAGGTGATGGCTCTCGAAGTGAGGGGTGCTCATCATTCGTCCCATCAAAAAACGCTTACTGGCTTGCCACCAATCAGTGGCAAACTCAGCCTCTGTAATGGATAGTTGACCTCCTAACAATATAAAAGCTCAAACAAAGTAAAACATGTACTAGTAATAACTTGTTTATATATGGTATTATTTGTATGTTAACTTACATCATTCATCGTCGTATATGGGAGTAAATATTCCCAATCCAACATGCGGATCCTCTTCTAGGTAATAACCCTAGGAATATCATTTGATCTTTTTATCGCATATGTCTGCATGCTGGGGAAAGCCTCAAATATCCAAATCTACAAAACAATATAATACACAACCATTAGTAATTGTTAAATAATTAATTATAATTTTGGAAACATTATATTGAAATTCTTACCTTAAAGGCCCAAGTAAAGTCTGTCAAAGTGTATTTAGAACCATCGCCCGCAAACTTTTTCGGTCCTCAAAGGCAGACAACAACTTCTTCCAGGTAGCTTTCTATAGATATGAACCCCACGGAAATATGTTCCATGCATTTAGGTCCTCTACCAATAATATTAGGTCTTCGGAGATAGGTTGTCTGCCCTATTTGCCTAAAAAGCGGACATACAAAAGTAATAAATGGCATACTAGGACAACATCAAGGTTATCCATCCGAGTAAAACCATCTTTATCAAATAATCTCTTCAAGTCGTCGACGTGTAAACTCGGCTTCAACTTTGCTATCTCAGGAAAAACCTGAGATAACCATGATGGGCGGGTGATATGACTAGTGTACCGACCTACATCATCGTGTCCGAAGCGTAGACCAGTGATTAAGCAAAACTCCTCCCGCCCAAAACAAGTATGTGCCGGAGGAAAATGAAACCATATCTCATCATCACCACGTTGTATCCCCTCGGGTAGATCGTTAGTCATGGTCTGAAGAAACAAATGTGTCAACATAGCATCTCCACCCGTATGTTGCACTTTCATCCATGGCCCGAAGCAAGTATCCTCAAACAATTTTCTTTTTAGAGGTGTAAGCGTCGACGCAATTTTAGTGGCTAGGCTTAATTTATTCCTTAAGGTCAATACAACCAAAAAAAATTCTACAAAAACAATAAACATACAGTTAGATATACCAAAAACTACAAATTATACACTATAAACAGACATGATATTAAACAGTGAAAACAATGCCAAATATGTTTCAAACTAGCACGGTATTCACCCAAGCCATTATTCCATCATAGTTCACAAAATGCATCAGATAACATTTCAGAAGTAAGCACTTATATAAACATTTAAAAGGACAACATATAGGTTTAGAACAGGTTCAAGGACAACATAAAGAGTAGTAGTTTATTCTTGAAACTTAAATTAGCAACACTGTGAAGTTAGTATTTGTCTTTGTTTTTCGGTTGAAGTAATGCAATTCATTCAAGTTTCAATTTGCAGAATAAAAGAATTTTCTGAAACTTAAATTCGCAACGCGAAACTAAAATCGCATTGCGATTTTCATTTTCGCGTTGTGAATTTGGTGTTGCAATTTAGGGTTTCTTTAACAAAAAGATAAAACAAAGACAAATATTAATTTCACAGGGTTAAAGACTAAACAGTTTAACAGTATTAGTAGCAACCGAATGAATTTACTAAGTAATCTCAGTGAAATGGTTAATCTATACATATTGAAATTACCAGTAAATTTATCATCAATATAAGAAAAATCTAATAATAATACAAAAATTTCAAAATAAAAATAAGAGATTAAAAAAATAACCATCGGTGGTTGATTTTCTATTTTTGACCGTGAATGGTTGTGAGGGTTGCTCTAAGAGATGGAGATAGACGGATTTCGTCGGAAATAGGGACAAATGTCGCCGTAGAGAGTGAGAGATGAAGATGAGACTAAGTTGTGATTTAGGATTTTAGGTTAGAGATGATTTGCGATAATACTGTTTGCATTTGTGTTGCGAAATTAATATTGTGTTTCGCGTAAAAATATTTGACTTCTGTGTTACGTTTTACAAATTCGCGTTGCGAATTTGACTTTTGTGTTGTGAATTTGGAAAATCGCAATGCGATTTACATATTCGCATTGTGAAATTGGAAACTGGGTTACGAAATTGGAGTTCGTTTTACGAATTTGTTGGTCATTTTGGTAAATCCAAACAAAATTGGTTAAAATCGTATATTATAAGACATTTTTGGTCACTGAGGTTATTTTCTCTTTCTTTTAAATATATTACATATAATAAGATTTTTTTTAAATCTAAATTTAATACTAGTTTTAATGGAATAGAAAATTCTAAAAAAAGAAGAGTTCTCCTAATAGATCTAAAATTTATGACCTAAAAAATATAAAATTACAAAGATCAGATGTGTTTGCTCTGATAAAATATTATTTTAATACCCATATAATAACTATTTTTGTATTTGTGCTAATATTTATATACGAAACATGCTATGATATTATCAATCAATCACAACGTTTAATAATGCAAACAACTTTTAAAGTTTTCTTAGTCAAAGATAAAATTCATACTTACTTTTAAGATTTCATTAAAAAATATTTATATTATATTGCTATGAATTAACAATGCATTAAAGGATACATTTTAATTTTAAATTTTAATCGCATAGAAACTTATAAAATCACATTTTTATTATTAATATTGTTAAATAACAATACTAAAAAACAGAAGAACGGTAGTGGCACAAGCGTTAGATATAATTAAAAATCATAAATTAAAATGAAATTCGTGAATTAGATGTTAAATAAATAAAATAACACACTTGCACGAGACAACCAATTGAAATTAAAAAGACCCCAACAGAAAACAAAGAAAGGCAACAAGAACACATCAGATCAATTACCGTACAAATGTTGGACCTAGTTTCTATTTTATTTTATTTTTCAAATAGACATTTTTATCCTTTGCAGGCATGCAATGGCAGGAAACGCCCACCTACGCTTAGCTGTGTAATTGTGCCAAGTACTCCTCATTCTTGTCTAACGTCTTTCACCGTCTGTTTCTCGAGAAAAATCCCTTACCATAATTCCTAAAGCTGTACAAAGTAATTTCTCTATTTATTACATTTTCAGTCTTTTCATTGTAATAAAGGGCATTGAAGAAAAGAGACGGCCCCCACTTTATTACCAGAGGCTCGTGGTTTAGGGGGTCTGGGCAAAATCAGACTGTGAAAGAAGGTCCCCAACCAAAGGTCAGAAAGCAACCCCCACTGTTTACGACTTTGAAGTTTGACCCTTCATCCCCCCCCCCTAATCCTACAATTAAATACACACCGTTATTCCCACCCTACTTTCAAACTCTCTGTTCGAAGCTGGAACCTCTAAATCTTCACAACATTTCATTGAAGGAAAAATAACACAAAGGAACCCCAAAACACTCCTAATTTATGTCCCCTCCCCCGTGTTTCTAATGCACAGGGGATAACCCTCAAACTCAGCCATCAGCATTTCCCTTTGAAGCCCATTGAGGTCGATATCGACGATTCCCACGAACTCACAATCACTGACTTGTTTAAGTGTGTACCCCTTGGAGTCTTGAAAATAGTGACAGGTCTGCATGAGCGTGGGAAAATTGAAGTGGCATTTTCAGACCACAGGCGGGGCAGATGTTTTATTCTACAATTTGCCTTTCCCATCATGCTACCCATCTTCGATGAAAATTCTTCCTATAAAATCCCGAAACCTCTTCGAGTAGAGCCTTGGACCAACAGCTGATATAGAAGAAGGATCGGCTTGTAATGATTTGTATGCATGCTCCAGCTTCTTGCTGATATCGTAGTCTTGTAAGATGTCGATGATGCCAAAGTATAAGACCACTTCATAAACTTCTCCGCTATGCAATGAGTGACTGGATCCACCCTGCATATACTGATCGAAGTCGCTTCTTCTCGACATTCGCTCTGCTCTTGCTGGCATGTTTGCCCCTAGCCTTATCAATGGTTTCCTGGAAAAAAAAAAGGACAAAAAAAATATAAATTAAGACATGCTGTTGATCTTCTAATCAAAATCTTAAGTTTTCTTTGAATACCAAATCACAACCAAGAGGAATAAATACAGTGCTAGAAAAATTCAAATTGCATACTAAACATGAGCCCTTCGGATCCAATTCCCTGAATTTTCTTGCATGCAAAATCATCTTTCACTAAGGCATGTCATATTGTGATGTATCAAAGTCATTACATTAGAAAGAGACATAGCTAGTGATATTTTGTGGAACCTTCAGTCGTGCTCTCCATTCTCATCCACGAAGTTCATGAATCATTTCTTAGAAACAAAACAACGGGCAACAAAAAATCAAGGAAACCCCCGGTTCATATCTATGATCATAGAGGACCACAATGGCTACATTCCCCCACAAAAAACGAAAAAAAAACTGACTTGTACCTACAATATCTATCAGACATCAATCATTTCATGGAATATGATCAAATATCAGCAACATTAAGACCAAACCCCGCATAAACTTTACACCCATTAGTAACAAGTCATGCAACCAACAGTTGACTAAGAAATTTAAATTCTAAGCATCATGGGGGCTTTGCTTAATCCCACATCTGTAATAAGGAAATAACTTGAATTGCAAATATCATCAAAACAACAAAACATACCGGCCAGCTAAAATCCGATCCATGTCCTGTAGCTCAGCTTCAAGAAAACGACATCCACGCATAAACTTTTCATTTTGATATGAATCCTTCCTGCCTGCACAAAGAGCAAGAAGATGCCAATCCCTATACTTATTTCAACAACAAAAAATATCCTTTCAAATTTCATATGAAATAGTACATTTGTTTATCAACTTACCTGTCCGCAAGAGAAACGGTGATAACCCCATTTTTTCACCTCTATTATCATCCCGAAAGTGTATTCCAACCAAAAGACTATAATCCATAATTCGCTCAGCCTCCAAGAACTCACAATCTCGATTAATTTGCCTGCCATGCCACCATTTAGTTGTATAACATTAAAAATAAATATGCAGACAAACTGACATGACAGTATAAGAAGATATGGAATGGAAGGAGTGAAATATAGCTTACTTCATGAGTTCCTGGAACCAATTTTGCTGGAGGCGAAACACATAATTAAGATCCAGGTCTTTTAGGGTTGTGATTTCATCAATTTCCTCTTCTGGCTTATCAGTTGAGCGGCCATGGGAAGATCCTTTGAGGTCAAACCGTCTATGAATTCGATACTCAGAGCAAAACATATTCCCCATCACAACGAACCGGGTCTGACATCATTATACAGCAAGTGAGTTAAATTCTCAGTGATCTAAGCCTTGAATAAGAATGAATACACTTCAGTTTTTATTTATTTCAAACACATACCTTCTGGCCACCTATAGGTTTGACACAATGCACGCCAAAGAATTTCGTCACAAGGGAATTTTCATATCGAGAAACATGTTGGTAGTAGCTCGGAAGCATTCTTATAAAGACCTGAAACAGTTAATAAAACATTTAAATCGGTCTAGACATCCCTACCAAGAGAAAATGTTAGTTTAACCAATAAAGTAAATTGGAAATTCAGAATCAACCAATTAAAGTGAATTGTAAATTCAGAAGCAAACAATTTTCCAATTTTAATGAATACGATTTGAGAAATTAGTGCAACAAGACACGGAGCAACTTCCACATTAAGTCAAACGGGTTGGAAACAAACCTTGACTTCAGATTTCTTTACTGTCTTTATCATAAATCTGTCATCTTGAGTGAGGTAAAAGAAGCTTCCACTCTTCCCCGGAGAAGAAAGCTCCCTAAGGGCATCATTGCCGCAAATAGCTAGAATGTAATCAGCAGGATCCACTTGGAATAGCTCCCTCAAATGTCTACAAGAAACCCGGAATCAAATCACCATTGCAGCAAAAAGCAATTAAAAAAAACATTTAAACATATCAAGGAATACTTGATACTTGTATGCAACCAAGCGAGATCATTCCCAGGAACACCTTTGTCCTCAAAGTTTGAAGATAATCCAACAAATTTTAAACAAAGAACAGATGTTCAACTAAATAAAAGCAAAGCAGCATACCTGAACACCACCGGACAATAATCTTTCCAACGGAACTCCGGAGATTGATGAGGAGGCGTGAGCTTTGATCCTACAACTGGAAACCTCGTCCAGAACTTCTCCCTGGGATCAAAATCTCTCGGCTTCAAATTCCGCATAATAGAGGCATGTTTTCCAACAGAATACCTACAGCAAAAAAATTCGCAGAAAATATTAAACCCACAAATCCAAATATTAGAAACATATATTCACCAAAAGCTTCCTAGGGTATTCACCTGATACCCAATTGCAAGTTAAGCATTAAGTTGTAATTCTTGTGGCCTTTGGAAATAGATTGTCCTGGCTTCTTAATTTCTCCACTAAAACAACAAGGATTCCTTCTAAATTGCCTAAACCCATCTCTGTAAATCATTGAAGCTTCCACATTATCAATTATATCACAAGTAATATCTCCTGCTTCACCATCGCTTTCCCATATGCAAATCCTGGGGAAATTCATGTTCCTTTCCCCTAGGCTTCCCCTTCCATCAACGGATGATCTTTTCCTCGGCATAAGCACTAAACTCTCCCCTCCTTTTAGAGAATGCTCCTTCCCGTCGTTCCCATGATAAAACGTCCCGTTCAGTTGTTGAGTTCTCTTCATGTTATTTTCGTTCCAGGCTCCGACATAACAACTTCCGTCCGGCCAAGAGAAAATTCCGTTTCCTTTGGGCATACCGTTTTCCCATTGCCCATCGTAACGGTTTCCGTTCGCCCAAATCAGTGCTCCACGACCAAAGATAACGCCGCTTTTCCATTCACCAACGTACTCGATCCCGTTACTCCAAATGTAACGACCATGCCCATCTTGTAGGTTTTTCCTCCATGATCCTTCGTAGAAATCCCCATTTTCATAACGTTTATGGCCGTGGCCGTGTTTCCGATCGGAACTCCACGACCCACGGTACATGTCTCCGTCGGATCCGATGAACGTTCCGAATCCTTCCATCCGTCCCGACTTGAAATCACCTTCAAAAGTGGCTCCAGACGGCCAAGATAACTTCCCTTTCCCGCAGGCTTTCCCACGACGCCACTCCCCTTCATACATGCACCCGTCTTTCCAAAGGTACTTTCCGGATCCGTGCGGCGCGTTAGTTGAGAAGTTACCGATGTAGAGATCACCGTTAGGTAGGAATTTCTCGATAGTGGTTCCCGATCCCGCGGTGACGAAGGAGGCAGCAATAGTGGTGGAGTCACGCGCCGTGTAGCAGCTTGAGACCGGCTCCGGTGATGGTGAGCCGTAGGATTCGTAAAAGCAACCACCAGATGGTCCTTCTTCTTTTCCTCGTCGGATATCTTCTTGGCGTGTAACACGACGTTACTCTGCTCATTGAACAGTGCTCCGTCCATTTCTTCTTTACTCCAATCCTTTTCTGTCTAATACTATCTATCTCCTCGTTTTCCACTTAGCTACTGCATTCCCGAACTCTAAACCACGCCGGCAAATTAAGCATTTCCGGCTCCGGCTAATGCTATGTATTTTTTCCTCTCTTTTGTGGCCAACTTCTCCTTTTCTTTCTCTTTCGTTTGGTGCTTTTGTGCTGTTTGGAGAGGGAGAGTTGGGAATGGGAATCCTACCAACACACAAACAGAACACGAAGTGGAAAAAGAACGAGAAATTGCAATTAATCGAAAATAAAAAGGAAGTGATAAATAAATAAAAATAAATTTAAAAGAGATGAAGAGGAAAGGACTAAGGTAGGCGGCTTTTGCATAGGGAAACGTTGCTTCCTATGCTCAGTAATGTTTTAGTACCATCAAAAGAAAATAAAAGAAAAACTCAACTTCTGTGACCAAAATACAGATTTTGCCCTTATTTTTGTGCGAAATATCAGATTCCAACTCTGGTTATCTTTTTCCATTTGCTAATTTTCGGTAAATTTATTTTAAAAACCACAAATAAATAATTATTTAACGAAATATGACAATTTAGATATTATTTAGAATAATAATCTTCAAATCTTTTATATAGGACGACGCATCTTATAAATCGTGTGTTAAATCCTTGCATCTTTTAATATGTGAGATACGTTTGATGTGGACGTACTTTTTAGATAAGTTAATAAAATAATTGGATAAATAACCTCACGTATTACGAAATACAAGATATTCTTTAAGATTCAAAATATCGCTAGATTTATGGGGATATTACGGCCTATAAAACGTAATGTTATTTCAGATTTCGTATAACAACCTAATTAATAATATCTTTTATGATCCAAAAATTATATTATAATAAATAATATAATAGTAATAAGTAATAATAGTAATTATTAAATATAATAAATAATTAAAATATAATAATATATAAATATAATAATTAAAATATAAATTTTATAAAAAAAAATTATAATATATTTTTTAAAACTTGAAATAATAAAAATTATATTATAATAAATAAATAAATAAATAAGAAATAATAATATTAATTATTAAATATAATAAATAATTAAAATATATAAATATAGTAATTAAAATAGATATTTTATAAAAATAATTATAATATACTTTGTAAAATTTTAAATAATGAAAAATTATATTATAATATATAAATATAATAATAATTAATAATATTAATTATTAAATATAATAAATAATTAAATTGAATAATATACAAATATATAATTAAAATAGATATTTTATAAAAAATAATTATAATATTTTTTGAAATTTGAATTTGAATTAAAGCAATCTCGCGTCTTACAGAATGCGAGATACTGGAAATTTCATATTTTCAATACCTCACGTCTTATAGGATGTGAGTTGCATTTAAAAATCGAGTTTTCCCAGTGCGAGAAGGTCTATAAATTCAGCCCTCCACTTCTTTTCATCACCATACCAGTATCCCTTTCATATATTCAAAGATTTAAAGATTTATATTATGGCGGCGAGTCTATTAAGACATAATCGAAGTCACGTATTCGATTATTAGAGGCGAAATGATGAGATAAATTAATTAATATTATTTCAATTTTTTAATATTTATTTATTTATTTAGTTTATTTGTTTTGATATTTAAATAATTTTTTAATATTTATATTTCGTAGAGATATGAACGTGTATTAAATTGTCATATAAATCGTGTGACACCGCCCGATACAGATATTATTGAGTAATTACATTTAGCGGGTTTCAGATATATCAGTAGTATAAATGGTGACGGTGTGAAGTTACATCCTCCACTTATCAATACGTTGGTGGAAAGATGGAGACCAGACACACACACGTTTCATTTACCGTGTGGGGAGGTAACTATTACCTTGTAAGATGTGTATTTCATCTTGGATTACCTATTGATGGAGTAGTTATTACTGGTGCTACCGGCACCCCTAAAAACATATGTGAGATATTACTCAGAATTGATCCACCTGATGATGCACACGATGGTGGAAAAATAAAAATTAAATTTTTGGATGAAAATTTTACAACACCACTCCATAATGTGGAGCATGAAGTTAAGGAGATAAATATAAATGTTTTTATCTATGAATATTTGTTAATATGTCAATTTATTTATTTAAAAATTAAGTAGTTATATTATTTTATTAATTTTTTAAAGCGATTTGCTCGTGCTTATATACTACGTTTTATAATGGGGATTTTAATGCCAGAAAAATCTCAAAATAAGGTATGCCTGATATGATTGAATCATTTACAAAATATTTGGTTCAACAATTATAGAAAAATATTTTTATTATATGTTTGGTTTATGGTTATGATTATAAACTATCATTGTAATTGAGACATTTTTCTAATTTTAATAAAACTAATAACTTCTATCTTTTCAAAAAAATAATATAAATTTGAAATACAACTCATATATGATAATCTTATATTATAAAATCGATCTCAATTTTTTTTTAAATTCCATTAAATCTAAATCTCGTTTGTAATAGTTCATGTATTTATTTAAATTGAAATTTGTGACATTTTAAACTTTTAAATATACAATTTAATTTTTTTTTGTTTATCAATATGTAAAACACTAAATAAAATAATATCGTTATTGGCATTAATATATTGACTGAAAATTATTAATCAGCAGTATTGCTTGGAAAGTAGGGACGCCCAATTGCAAAGAAGAGATGCTCAATTGGAAAGAAAAGATGCTCAATTATTAATAAGATTATTTAAATGAAAATCAAATAATGAAAATAAATATAAAATAATTTTAACTCATAATTAAAATGAATAAATTTTTTTAAAAGGAAAAGTTTAGATCATGGTGGCTTCTCCAGTCTTCAGGGCATACTTAAGATCCAATTGAGATTTACATAAAAATTTACATATTGACCACCAAGAGTGACGGTAATGGGATTAAACTTGACCTTATAAGTTCAAATTCTTGAATCCAAAGCACTTATACTAACACTCGTTGACAAAAAATAAATAAATTATAATAAAATAATTTTTACCTTCAAATAATTTCACACGGTTAAATTTAATTTGTATTAAAATCATGATGATTTTATTGTATTAAAAACATATAAATTATTTAATTTCTAATTCCATAATTCAATTAATGATTTATTAATTTTAACGTATTAACCATCAGTTTATTATCTCGAGATGCATCAGTTCTTGATATATCAAAACATACATAGTTTTACACAGTATTTTGAAAATCGGACCGATCGGCCGCTTCAACCGGGAATCGTTGTCTAGTTCGATTCAATCTACACCGGTTGAATTGTTACTAGTGAACCGACCGAAACCGTTGAACCGTTCGAACCGGATCGGCTGAAAGTCGGAAAAAACTGCCAATTTTTTTTTAAATTAAATCAAACGACGTCGTTTGTTAAACGAGCCAAGTCGAACTCGAGTATTGCTGAGCTCGACTCGAACTTGAAAACTTTAAAAGTAAGCTCAACTCGAAAAGGCTTGAACTAAAAAAAAATTAGAAGCTCGATTGAAGCCTAAACTTCAAGCTTGATTGAAGCGAAAGAATATTTCACTTAATGCTCACCAAAAGGCTCCATGATTTTGAATGTCATTTGAGATGCTCTTCTATGTTTCTTAGCCATTTGAGATTGTTTTGTTCTCATATTTTACTCTTTAGACTTTTGGGATGTTATTCTATGTTTTTTAGCCATGTGAGATTATTTTTTTTTAAATAAACCAAACAATATCATTTTGTTATGATTTTTAGCCCCAAATTTATTTTTTAATTATAGTTATATAATTATATTTATTATTTAATATGTTTTACCTTAAATATTATGTTGTAGTTAATTTGAATAATTTTGTTTCACTTGATTTTATGGTTTTTAATTTATATATGTTATGATTTGCTTTGAATATGACTTGTGATATAAAAAATTATTTTTTATTAAATATTTTTGATATTTTTATTTAATTTTTTAAATAATTATGACGTCGTCCGGTTCTTCCGACTGGTCGAACTGGTTCAACCGGTTGAATCAGTGAACCGATAACATGGTCGGTTCGCTAACCGGTCCGCTAACCGATCCGATTCTAAAAACCATGGTTTTACATTTATTCAAAATAATGGTGGATGGAACCGAGGGATTCTTGTTGAACAAATTGACCATTCTATTCTCCCGTACATGCAAGCCATTCCACGGGCTCCGATATATGCTATTGGTTTCGCATAGTCAAAGGCTATCATTTAATCGATCGTGGAATTTGATTGGCACTTCAAGACAAACACTTGACGAATCATTATCGTCTTAAGAGATCTCTAGTCTCAAGCTCATCTGTCCGTTTTGTGGTGATCATGATGAAACTTTCCTTCGCATCTTAAGGGATTGTCCTAATATGAGCAGGTTATGGCTCTCGATCATAGGAAATTACTTGCATGAAAATTTCTTTGGACTCTCTCTGCAGGACTGGATCTTACACGGCATCTCATCCCAACACCTTTGCTCTTTGAGCGATGGTCCCTGAAATCTTTTGTTCGCTTCCTTAATCTGGCAAATTTGGAAGCGCATAAACACTCATATCTTCATTAGTCACACCATGGACAGTTCATCTCTTCTTCATATTACTGTTCAGTGGGTTGGGCAAGGCTCTATAATACCTCATCTCGTCAACATTCCAGAAACAACGTGACTATTGTTGAAAATATTCAGTGGACAACTCCCCCAACTGATTGGATTTGCCTTAATACGGATGCAGTTGTTTCTCAAGTCTCTGATGTTGGTTCGATTGGAGTGCTACGTAATCATGAAGGTTCGCATTTCCTTTCATTTTTCAAGTATATCGGTGTTACAACAGTACTTCAGACCGAGCTATGGGAAATCCTTGAAGGCTTAAGGGTTGTGAAAAGTAATAATTTCGATCATATCCTTGTTCCGTTAGATAACGCCGATGCGATTAAGTTGCTCTTCCCTCCCCCCTCCCCCCCTCACAGTCCATTTCCGCTAGTTCGATCCATAACTCTCCTTTGCGAGGAAGATCGAAGATTGGAATTTACTCGGGTGCCTCGTGAAGCCAACATGGTTGCTGACTATCTCTCTAAACTGGATTCTTCTAGTGACTCGATGGCTTATGATTCTTCTTCTCTCCTATTGGTTTGTTTGATTTACTATAAAAAGACTGTTCTGGACCTCCCTATGTTAGGATTAGGAGTGT